TTCTAAAGGCCTACTTTTATCTCATAGCCCTGAATCTGTTTAACATAAAATTGTATTTTGACATGGATCCTACTCAAGAGCTCTTTGGGGAGCTTCCTAACCAGGTTTGCATTAGTCCTATTTGAAGCCAAGGAAGAAACTGGCACTTTGGTAAGTCAAGGTCTTATAGCCAGCAGGTAAATTCACTACACTTCACTGTGATGTTAATTTTATATGTCAACTCACAGGGTGTTTTTGAATGAGATTCATATTTAAATTGATGAACTCTGAATAAAACAGATTGCCCTCGAGAATGTGGGTAGGCCTCATTCAATCAGTTAAAGGCCAAACAAAACAAGAGGAGATTCCAGCCAACTGACTTGAGACTGAATCGGCAACATTGGCTCTCCAGGGTCTGCAGCCTGCTGACCCACACTGCAGATGTGGACTTGGTGGCCTCATGAATCACACAAGCCAAACTATTATACTAAATCTCTTCCTATATATACACATATCCTATGAGTTCTGTTTCTCTGGAGAACCCTGACTAGTACTGCATGTATTATCTTGTCCTACCAGGACATCCACATGAGATGCCTTATATTAAGGGAATAAACTTCTCAAAGGCAAAGGAGTTTATTCAGGACATAGAGCAAGTGGTGATGAGCCTGTGCTAAATAATTCGGCTTTCTGGCCAATTTTCAATGATTAATTTGCAACCAGAATTTCTAATCTTGAAAAAGGACTTCAACTATTTCCATTTTGACCTCAATCTGTACTTTCTAATGGATTAAGTTCTTCTTTTCAGTTTAACTCTTAACTCAGGCAAAAGACCCTGCCAGCAAAGCATGTCCTGATGGGAGCCAAAACTAACCCCCACCCCCGCCCCTGGGCAATAAGGACTACCCTGAGCCAGGAAGACCCAAGTGTGACTGACCTCAAGACAATGATCAACCTGACATTCACTACCCACCTATGTGTTAGAGACATTCAGTTAGGTTCTAACAGGAGGCCTGGAGGCCAAGAAAAAGTCAGTCATGGCCAGCTATTGACAAAGTCAGAGGCCTGTCCTGGCAACACTCCAGAACAAAACCACAAGAACCAAAGTCAAACCAGACAGGCCCAAGATGGTGACAAAGTAGGCTGGAAACCCCTGCCCAAATAAGGAAGAAAAGGCTCAAAACCAGCTTCCAAGAAATCCCCACCCAAGTAATGAATATTCCACAACTGTCAATAAAAGATAAAAACCCAACCCCCAGGATAATCAGCTCACTCACTGGCCTTCTCACATCTGGAGAGTGTACTCTCACTTTAATAAACATTCCAGCTTCTGTCTCTAGCCTGTGTTGTGTCTGTCCTTTAATTCTTCCTCATAACAAGACCAAAAGACTTGGGTGACATCTTTGGGACAGGCTGGGTTGAAGCCTCAGAGCCCACGTCTCCCCGGTTCACCTGGCAATATATGTATGTACCAACCTTTGCTCCACATTTCTCCTTATATAAACCTGGAAGTATTTTCAGCACTTTGGAGACAGTCTTTGAGATATTAGTCCACTGTCTTCCCAGTGTTGGCCTCACTGAAATAAATTCTTTTCTTGTTTCCCTACCATTTGTCTCTCTGCCTCTGGATCCTGTCAACAGCAAGTAGCTGGAACTGGTCTGCCTGGACCCCAAGAGCTAGATGCTCTGGCACCCTTGTGCCCCAGCTACAATCTCCCACTCTCATTAAAATGATACTTAGAAGATGTACAGGAAACTTCCATTTCATAAATTCAAGAGGTCTTCTAGTCATTGAACTTATTCATATATCTTAATGACATGTTTTCAATTTCTCAGACTAAATCAGTTATGGGTCATTGTAATAATCAACCAACAAACAAATTAATTGACTTTTATGACCTATCTATTCTCAAGGTGCTTACAATTACCTAAAAGTTTAAGTAATATCAGAGAATTTCAAGACTTAAATGAATTTAATGACTTGCCCTCAAAAGGTACAAAGAGAGGCAGCGACCCGGGAAGTCTTTTTTTTTTTTTAAGTTTTAAATGTAACATGAAGCCTTTAACAACCCAAAATTGTATTGTCTTATATACGGAGCAAGAGCAGAAACAGAGGCACAGATGTGAGAGGACCTATTAAAAACAAGTCAACAACAATAACAAAGAAACCAAAAAGAAAATATTTAGAAAAAAAACAAACTGTGATTTCTGACTGAGCTTGGAAAAACTCTCATCAGAAAAAAATTTCCATTTGTAATCAGACATCAGACACACATACATGTGTATATTTCTTCTTTTGTTAAGGTGACTGAATTGTCATTTGCTGGGCAAATTTTCTCATGAACACAGGAGGCTACTGCATAAGCAGTGGACTAAAATGGACGTTGGAATTCTCAGTGGAATATGGCATTTAAAACCAACACCACTTCTTCCCTTCAGTGACTGAAAAGGTCAGGGCTAATCACCAATTTCCTTGCCAGGACTGCCTAAATGTTTTGAAAGAACATGCCTATCTTTACAACTTATAGCATGATTTTCTATCTCACGTTGTCCTGGACTTGAACAGGTGCTGATTATGGGCAGTGACCCCTCACACAGTAGAAAATCCTCATAAAACTTTTGACTCCCTATGAACTTTACTAACAGCCTTACTGATAACATAAACAGTTGTTTAACACATATTTTCTATGTCATATGTATTATATGCTGTATTCTTACCATAAAGTAAGCTAGAGAAAAGAAAACGTTATTAATAGTAAGAGAAAATACATTTACAATACGGTACTATGTTTTATAAAAAAAAAAAAAAATCCACATATAAGTGGATCCACGCAGTTCAAACCCTCATTCAGGGTCAACTGTACTTTATGTGTGAAATCATTCCATTTTCCTAAAAGCTCTATGATGAGATCCCAACAATAAAGGGGTAGTTATTCACCAAGGGTCACAGTGCAAAATACTTTCCCCATTTACCATTTATTTAGCATTTATTTTATTTAGCATTTATCACTATTTCATGGTATGGTTATTGCTATACAAAAGTTTTCTATAGACAAATCTAAATCTATTTACCTAATGAAAATTTTGGTTTTGCCATGCTTGGCCAGGCATTCACTATCCAAAGTTAACAGATTTTTCACGTATATTTTTTAATTTTTTTATTTACATTTTTATTTTGTTTTTTGCATAGTTTTTTCTTAATACATTTTAGTACTTTTTAAGGTTTAATTTCATAAACCAACTGGGATTTATTTTGGTGTATGGTGAGAAAAAGAAATCTAACTTTTTAAACTGAATGGCTAATTATTTTAAATATGAAATAAACCATCTTTGGGCGCCTGGGTGGCTCAGTTGGTTAAGCGACTGCCTTCGGCTCAGGTCATGATCCTGGAGTCCCTGGATCGAGTCCCGCATCGGGCTCCCTGCTCAGCAAGGAGCTTGCTTCTCCCTCTGACCCTCCCCCCTCTCATGTGCTCTCTCTCTCTCATTCTCTCTGTCTCAAATAAATAAATAAAATCTTTAAAAAAAAAAAAAAAGAAATAAACCATCTTTTACAACTACTTGGAAATGCTGCCTTATACATACATATATATGTATATGCATATATACATCAGGTCTATCATTGCTAATGTGTTCAAGCACTCTCTTCATCTATTCCCATAACAATATCATGCTATTTTAAGTATTTTGGCTTTTTATGAATCACACTTGTGCCCAGTTTAAATTCTTTAAAAATCAATCTAATTTCCCCTTCCCTTTCAACCTACCCACCATACACAAACACAGATAGATACCAGTTTGATTTTCATTATCACTGACCAATTGATTTTATGAATAAAAATTAAGACCATAATTTTCTACAACCCATACTTATGAATGTATAATAATATTCTCAAGACTGTTTACCAATTTTCCTGAGGTCTGATTTGTCACCCATGTTTTAATTATGGAATATTTTTAAATAACATTTTGTTTATTAGGTTCAAAGCTGTCTGTTCATGAATGTGTAAAGAGAAACCAAACCTGTTAAATATGTTATTCAAATTCTTCATGGTCTAATTTTTTGTCTACCTAATATGACAATTTTTAGAAAAATACATACTAGCATCACCCACTGTAGATATGGTTTTGGTAAATTTTCTCACTACTTGTAAGAGTTTGGGATATGTTTTTATGCCTTGTTGTTGGTGTATAAAGGATCATGATTATTAGAATTTCTACCGGATATTACATGTCAATATAAAAACACCTTCTCTTTTCACCCTACACTGTACCTCCACACTAAAACCATACTTTCAAAGACTGGTACGCTGATACGGCAATTCTTATTTTCATTACATTAGCATTGCCTGTTAGAACTCAACTTACTCCTTTATTTCTAGTCTGTATTAGGATTTGTCTCTTTAACAAGACACAACTAGGTTTGCATTTTAATCGAAGCTGTGAGCAGTTACTTTTATTAAAATAAATTACCCCATTATAATACGCTATAATAACATAATATTTATAGTAACTATAAGTTATTATGACAACTAGTATGTTGTGCCTAATTACTGACCTATCACTTTATTTTTCCTGCATATGATACACTTTTATTGTGCTTTTATTTATTTTTTTATTTTCCTGTGCCTGAATCAAGTTTTTTTTTTTTACTTTTTTTTTTCCTTTGTAGCCACTTAAAATATAACATTTCACAACTCACAAAGTCTTTTATATTTATGTCAAACTACTACACTTACCAACTTTTGGTCCCTCTTACTCTGAAGGTGACAGGAAACTACTCTAACGTCTGTCTCTGTTCTTTCCTTGTCTATCCAAAAGTAATCACGAAATATTCTCTATCTGCAGTAGTAGCAATAAGTCAGCTTAAGATGAGACCACTTTGGAATTTAATGAACCTACGTAGTATCTATTATGAGCCAGGAAAAGGGAGGACAAGTAACTTCATATATAATTAGTCAGAAGTTAGTTCCATTTATCTTTCCAACATCTCTGTACCCTGCAAAAGACAAAGCTCTTACCGTTTCTTTTGGAATCTGCATCTGGCTTGGCTCTGCATTCTAGAAGAATTGAAGAAAAATATAAATACAGACTGACCAAAGCCATCTTCAACACACAGGGTCACAAAGCTTGACTTTAAAGGAAATTCTGTTGGTTCTTAAAACCCACGAAATATATAGAGGGTGATTATATTATGGATGATGTATGATTGCCTTCCAAACTTGCACTGATGTGGTTATATTATCTTGTGTGTGTGTGGGTGTGTGTTTTAAGAAATTTTTCTGATGTAAATTTTTACTTGTTCACTCACATTATATCATGACTTTATTATTTGGAGGAAAACAAATCTCACCAGACTGGCTCTCTATTCATGGCACTGTTTTGGTTTTTTTAATTTCCCCAACTACATCTAAGGTATATTATAATTTGATAGCTACACCAGATAGTAACAGTCTGAACCACAGTCTGAACCACAAGTATTATACTTTAAAATATTACACAGATTATAAATGTGATTTTTTTTGACATACTATAGAGTTGCTTTAATTACACAGATATTTAAAAGGTTGATTTATTAAAAAGGCACATATTGATAACAGTATTTTGTTTTAGACACAGAATTTAAACACAGACACCCAGAGGAAAAGAGTTTTGTTAATTGGATTCAAAGATCATTTTAAATGCACCCCCTCCCCTTTAAGTTTCAGAATTTTATTCTTTGAAATCTTAAAAAGCAGCTGCAACATGAATAATAGACTGACGGCCTACTGGCTCACTCCTTAATGAAAAGCTCACAAGCAATAAATTAAATAACCAAGAAAAAAACTAGGCAGCAGAAGGGGAAAACAGAAGCCTGGAAGATCAAAATTGGACAAGAAGAACCTGAATAACCTTAAGCTGGCTAGATGTTGGCACTGAGTCTGGGAAGGGCTGCTGAAGAGCAGTGTTTAAGCTTTGGCAATCTGATAATACTAACTATTACCCAGGCTAAGATATACTGACGAAGAATTAAAGCTTCATCAAATCCCATCTAAAGCTTAGTATATTTTTTTTAAGGGCTCATTTACAATTTCATAGAGACATCTCCAGATTTAGGATCAGGTGGCATTTTAAGCACAAAATTGGATAACAGTGGGGGGAAAATGGAAAACCGAATTTAAATTGGGAAATAATGCATTCAACATTTTAAAATAGAAATAAAGATGTTTTTATAATTTTCAAAATCTACTTAAAACACAAGCGTTCGGCTTACAGCCCTATCACAATCGGAAATTCCATGAAATCACAGCAAATTTGTGTAACCAGGGGATGGGGTATTCTACACTGAAACATATCTGGCTCATAATAAAAGGAAAATTTTACTAACCATGACACATCTGTACTTGAAATATTAGCCTAAGAGATTTAGGGCTATAGGATAAATTTGGGAACTGTGCCCCTAAAACCTTGCCATTCCAGTATATACAAATTAATTGTTGCTTAAAGCTAAAAACTGACTGAAAGAGATGTCAAATGCTCTAAAATGGCCCAAGTAAAATCTGTTTTGAAACATTTAAAATACCACTTATACTGGAAATAAAACACTTTTCTTACCACATTTAAAAGATAAAAGTGATTCCTCCAATTATGTTGTTTTTATATAGTAAATGAAACCTGGCACTTCTTGCAGAAAAACATTCAAACTATGTCAACTTAGTATACATATTTCATTCACACCAATACTATGTAAATACCTCTTATATTTAGACATATTGATACACATTTAAAAAATGAAATGAAGTTCAAACAAATGCCTTTTGATTTCATCTATGTCATTCCAAGTAATGTCAATATTGGTAATTAATGGCCATGGGGCTTAGTACCACTCAGGTCTCCTTACTTTCAACAGTAATACTCTAGTTAAGGTACTCCTTTTCATACAACAGGAAGCAAGAAGCTTTACTTGGCTTAGCTGGATGCACTATGAAAATCTGAAATATGAACATTTGTCATACGTAGTGGAGGAGATGGCAAGTTTTCAACAACAGCCTTTGAAGTGACAGTTATGAAGTAATCAACGTCTCTGTATTCAATCAGTCCATCTGAAAGTGTTCCCTCATAAGCATTTGCTGTCCTAGAAAATATCCTTGCAATCTGATTTTTAAATACCCCTACACTCAATATTGTGGAGATCTATCTTCAAAACTAAGCAAATATAAGGAGAGGATGCTTATGCGAAGTTAAGGCTGAAAGATATATAAAATATAGAAACTGTTTGGAAAATGTCTCAATAAACACTGGCCATCAGGTGACTAGCCCAGATCCCTGGCTCATGTGCATCAGAAATCTTTCATCTGCTCTAAATTTACACACCAGTTCCCTTGGGTGGAAGGCATCTTCTTGGCGAAAGACCAGAAGGCTCACGGTCCCTTCCATCTTGGTGCTTCTCAACAGGGAAACAACTTCTTCTTGGGATTTGCCTGCTAAATCTACTCCATTTACCTAAAACAAATAAAAAGTTTTCAGCTGCAGTGCTGTGCAAACATATGACTGAAGAAAAGACATACATCCTAGAATGTATCATGTCTCTTATGGAGCACAGCTCATTTCGTGGTCAATTCTCCCATGATTTGGAAGCTAATAAAGAAACACAGCCTAGGTATCTAGAAGAAGGACAGGAAGTAGTAAATCTTTTAGCGCTCATTAATAAGCCAAAAGCCACAGCCACCAGAGCATTAACAAAAACAACTAAAAATCAAATATATCCAAATTACCAGGTTAACACAAAACTTAATGGCTTTGGACTGAGATATCTTGATGGCCTTATGTATCATAGATTATCTTATACCAAAACAAAAAGGTGTTGCTGTTAGAGGGAGTAGTAAAAACACACTAAAAATATTTTGGTAAAACTTCCAATGAAATTTTACTGAAACTTATAAAGATAACTTTTTATCCCTAAAAAGACAAACATTAAAAGAAGAATACAAAATAATAATTATATTTATGGAGGGGTAGCAATATTTTGAGGTAGCAATACCTTGATATTTTTCAATGTTTTAAGAGAATCTTAAAAAAAAAGAGAGAGAGAGAGATTTGAAATAACCAATTTCTGGGGAATCTCATTATTTTTACCTTTAAGGAAGTATAATAACATTACCAGAAAGCACTATATATTTAAAAGAAATAAGAGTGAAAATCTCTTTTATAAACTATTCAATAGTATTCGCTTTAGAGAAAAATAACATTTTGTCCATGACAATAAAGTATATTATTTAAATTGTAATATCAAAATTACCCTGTAGTTAGAATACCTTTTGGAACATTTCCCTCTCCACTAAAAACCATCTTCTACTGCTCAGTGTACTACTATTTAAGTGATTGCAGGTAAGTAGTAACAGGTTCAAAGAAAGGAAAAATTTCTAGATTAAAAAAAAAAAAAGTGACTTGATACTTTTTTTAAGTATGCTTCCAAATATCCACATGCTCAGAAAAACTGCCCACAAAACTGTTGACACTGTGTAGATGCAACTACAGATACTAGAAAGTTAGGTTTAAGACTTGTGAAAATGTAGTTTCAAGTAAAGCTGACAGCTACAGAAAATAGAGCCTAACTCTGAAGAAATAGAGGTTTCAGGCCCTTCCCACTGCTCAAAAAGAAAAACAAAAGCCTTTGTGATGTGTTGAAAGTAAAGTAATTATGGGAGGAAAGAGAGTCAACAAGAAAGAAAGAAGGTGAGGCTGATGCCAGAGAGAGGAGGACAGACATGTTTTGGACTCAGGGGCAAAGATGATAAATTCAAGTCCCAGCTGAGCCTCCTACTACATAAAACAAGCTATAACCGCACCCTTGGACCAACACTACTCAATTCATGCACCAAGGACAAGTGGCCCTTTCTGGAAACAACACTCTAAATATAATTTATACTCGAACCTTTCCTTCTATTTAGCCTCTACCAGTGCCCCTTTAAAAAATGGTGTCACAAGAATAAGACACAAAGGAAAGGAGCAAGATTTAAGAAATCTAGGTGCAGTATGTAGCCATGGAAAAATCCTTTTCCTGGAAGACAATCCTTCGCTCCATTACTTTTCAAGAAATCTTTAGGAGAGTTTGATCTGGATAATTCGAAACTACATATGAAGCTACAAGTAAAGAAGAAAGGGTAATGCCACAAAACGCAGTTTAACATTAGTGTTTGAACACTAGTTAATAATTAGGAAAGGCCATATCTGCTGCTAAGAATACAGACACACTTTCTGAAGAAAATACTAAGAAAAGCGACTAACCCATTTTTCTCAATCTTTCTTCCTTTTACTTCTATATACACAAGCAATCACACACACAGAAATGCCTATGTATGTTTATGTATGTCTAAGATGGCCTCAAAGACCAATGAACCGAAACTCATGAGGTACAGAAAGGAAATTTTGAAAAACTATTTTTTTCTGACATCTGATTTTTATGTCTCAATTCATTCTCCATGCTGCCATTTCAAAATTTCCTCTCATCAAGACACACTGTTTTCATTTACTTCATTTGTCTCTGTTCTGATTACAAAGTAGATATCATTTCTATATTGCCAGACATAAATTTAAAGCCATGTAGAAATAGAACCTAGCAGACACTGCACTTACATAATGACAAATGTTACGTTATCTCATAAACTGAATGTCTGAGTAACTAAAAATTTATGAGTACACTCAATGAAAAGATATTTCTCATCAAATAACATGGAAACAAGTCGAAGTAAAGCAGAAATACACTGCTTTATGATGCAAACTTCTGCTAACATATATAATTTCATATTTATGAAGATGTGAAAAAGAACTGACCCCTGAAAGTGGAACTTTTTAAGAATTACGGAACTTCTGACTTAGAGAAGCCACTCACCTCTATAAGTCTATCTCCTGCCTTAAGTCGGCCATCTTGGATGGCAGCCCCTCTTGGGAGGATGTTTTTCACATAAATTGGAGCTGAGCCACCTATGGTTACATCTCGGGAAGTGATGCTGAATCCCAAGCCTTCTGTACCTAAATACATAATGACAACAAAAAAAGTAAATAAAATGAGATACCTTGAATTTCAGAGGTATATGGCACAGAAAAGTTTTGTTATTCTCTACCTCAGCTTGACATTTTGTAATTTTCACAATGGCCTACACTGCTTTTAATACTTTAAAAGTCTGAAAAGCTTTTCCAAAACAGACTAAATTAGGGAAGGTTTAAATGGCTTATATATCAAAATTCTTTAAGAAGAAATGGGAATCTAGTCCAAGACAGATGAAAGGTAATATACAAATATGACTGCTAAAAGTTTCTAAACTGGTCAAAATATTTGACGTGAAATAAACTTAATTTCTCCGTGTGGAAAAAAAATTCTGTTAAAACCCATCGTACCTCAAATATCAATTAATATTGTGCAATCATGGTATCCAGATTTAAAGGGGAGGAGGAGGAGCAAGGAAAGAGAAAATGATCAGGAAGATGGAAAAGAAACAGTGGAAAGAAAATTTTTTCTAGATAACAGAACCTCCCCACACTATAATTAAAACAATTTACTGACAGGATGAACCATATTGTATTTGCCTAGTTCTCTTCTATTTACCTAAATCTTACCATATATATTTCCCAACCAATAAATAAAATTGTAAAAATAAAAAACAAAGGCAAATTACTCAGGGAAGACCCCATCTCAGATCATAGCTACCAAGTCTAAGGACCATCATATTATGTTTAAAGGTACTGAAATTAATAAGGCATTTACAGATCACTGTGCTGGTCTGTATAGTTTTAATTCTAGGCTCTTCATCAGCTTTCCTGACAGGCACTCATAAGTGCAATACAGTATAGAAAAGGCGTTGCATGTTATTAGAACTGACACGCAACAAGCCAAAATGAGCCAAGAAAAAATGTCAAGACTACAACAAATTTCTAATGAATCACACAATTTTTATAACACTTCTAATAATGATTAATTTCTACTGGAGCTTTTTAAAAAATTACTTTTTAGGATATTAGGTTCCATTTCAGTCAAAGTGATACTAGGACAAATACTTGGCTCATGTGGGAAGAATAAAGAGCTACATAAAGGTGAAAAATCTGTGGAAGGATACATTAATTTGATGCAGCACTTAGTACAAAACTAGAAGCAAGAGTACAAATCTGTAAAAGTAAATCAATACGGGCAAGTAACTATGAATCAAAACGTGGGTTAAAGAAGAAACAAAGTTGATATGAAGAAAACACCCCATAGTTATACCTGTAACAGAACCTACCCTATACATTCTCAAGTGCAAACAAAACATTCATTTACTTCAAGCCTGAAGTCACTTTAATGTGCCTGGACTGTTAATTTCTTGAGTCTTCTGTGCTGAAGACTTGAATGGCATCTTGTCTATATGAAATTTTCCTAATTATTCTGCTGGGACTTTTCCATATGTCTCTGTGCTTTCATGAAACTCTAATGACTTGCAATAACATTTATTAAGAAAGAATTCTAAATTATTCCCCTTTTGCAATATTAATTTGTATGAACTACAAAGACTGACTGTTATATGAACCTCAATACTATTAAAATATCAGCAATAACCCCTAAATCTGTAAGCTAAAAGTTCGGGCAGTGACCTTTAAAAGAAAGATAAATAGATATCAATTTTCATTTAGCAAAGCCAACAAAACATTTTGCACTGACTGAAACAGATTACTGACCTTCTCCTCTGACTTTATTAAAAAGCTAATTTCTACAAAAGAGCAGGGTATCTGAGAATGGCAAAATGGCAATAAATATTAAGAAATCATAATTATGGGAGCAAGTACATAAGGGCTGTTCTATTTTGTCATGTTTATATGACATGGTTCCTAAATTATGCCTAAGAATCATTATCATGAAGGTTTCTCCATTTAGCACATAGAACTGATCTCAGTTTATGAAAGAACTGTCATTCAAAGCATGTCAGTTCACTATGAACTGAGTTTAAAGTTTAACATGGACACACCCTATGTTTTTGATGTACTTCATTAAAAATGTTAAATGTAACAATTGTAACTGGTAATAATCGTAACTGTTAACCACAATGAAAGCTTGTTCAATTGTCATACAATCATTATTATTAAAATACCTCTATTCAGTACTAATCAAAGAGAATCAGCATTCTGCACTATTATTTATCATAAACTTATTTTTCATATAAAATATTTGTAAGTATTGACAGAATGTACAGTTGGTTTCCGCGTTTTGTCATACATTCTCACAGTAAATTAAAATCAAAATAGAGCTATGAAGCTCTATATCATTTAGAATACTCAAAGTCAGGGGTCGCCTGGGTGGCTCAGATGGTTAAGCGTCTGCCTTTGGCTCGGGTCACGATCCCAGGGTCCTCGGATGGAGTCCCGCATCGGGCTCCCTGCTAGGCGGGGAGCCTGCTTCTCCCTCTGCCGCTGCCTCTATCTCTCTCTCTGACTCTCATGAATAAATAAATAAAACAAACAAACAAACAAAAAATTTAGAATACTCAGTCAGAAAAATGTTTAAAAGAAAACCACTGCTTCCATTTTTCTGATCTTGATGATTGAGCACAGTCTTTGTCAATTAGCTGTGTCAACGTAATCATCTTTTAAAATGCTATTAAAACTTAATTTCTGTATTCAAAAGAATGCCTCTTTTAATGTCAAGTAAAATTTCACTTCATTTAAAAGTTCATATTGTATCATAAGTTGTTAAAATATAATTGTGTAAAAAACCATAATTACCGAAATAAGTATGCCTGTTAGTGTAAAAGGGCAAAGATATTTATGAACTAGTAACTTTATGAGAATGGCCAAGTAAAATATTTTTCCTCTGTTGAGAGATCCCAAGCAGAATTTTATTTATTTTTTTTTTACAATTCCATTTGTGGTTCTTACCGTGTTTTTGCTTAAAAACAAGGGCCTGTCATTTGAGTAGAAAAAGAAGAAGACAGGATCTGATACTTATCTCATTTAGGAATTAACAAAGCTAAAAGGGGTTTATGCTGACATAACTCTGCATTTGTAAGAGGTTTCAAAAATGGAGTAAAGCTGTCAATTCCTGATCATGTCAACCAAGTATTTGGAGCTTAAAAGTCAGTAACCAGAAATAAGGAGTTTGTGGTTCACATAAAGTTCAATGAAAGAATATGATTAGAAAGGAAACAGGAATCTCAGAGTTTACAACCCTGTAAACCCTACTCCAAATGGAAAGAATGGTCTAAAGGTCAGGATATGGAATATGTTCTCTTAAGAATCTGCTGCCAACAGCCACGAGACTTGGGGAAATCACTCAACCTCTCTTGGATTCATTTTCACCTAAACTGTAGGAGTTGGTTGAGCTCATAAAAAGAGAAATATTCTTTATGACACCATTTTGAAAGAGATGATTTTAAAATATATCAGAATGCTCAGCTAAAATGGATGATTAACAGCAAAAGTCTAACTCAATGGCTGGAGGGGACAGTGTTTGGAAATCGGAAAATCAAGCCTAGCAGTCTGCTCTGAGTCGTCAAGAACAAAATGGAAAAGCATGCTTCCTGTACACAAGGATGAACAGTCTATGCAAAAGATACTTAAATAAATAAATTGATATAAGGCGTATGTAATAAAGAGTTAGCAGGGTCCATTAGAATTTCCCTTGTCATCTTTTTTTTTTTTTTTTAAGATTTTATTTATTTATTTGAGAGAGAGAGAATGAGAGACAGAGAGCACGAGAGGGAGGAGGGTCAGAGGGAGAAGCAGACCCCCCGCTGAGCAAGGAGCCCGATGCGGGACTCGATCCCGGGACTCCAGGATCATGACCTGAGCCGAAGGCAGTCGCTTAACCAACTGAGCCACCCAGGCGCCCTCCCTTGTCATCTTAAGGAAGGAAAGCAGTATAATATTCTGGAAAAGTAGCGGACAAGGAGCCACCTGCTCGGTGAACCTACTCTTTATTCCCACGAACCACGACAGCTTCAAATCAATCACTTGCCCCTACCAAAATGATGGGGTTAAAGTGGAGGAGCTCTAACGTCCTCTTTGAGAGTTATGTCTGGACATCAAGTGGGGTGATCAAAACAGTCAAGTCCTTACTATTGTTTTAGGTTTAATAGTATATCCTGAAACCAATTTCCTCCCTTACCAAAAAGTTTTACCACAGTAGTAACTGCTACCTTCTTCACAAAAACTTATTTTTAAAGCCTTATTTTCTCTGAATTTCATACTTTAATTCTGATATAGCAAAATGAATCTGAAAAGCTTAAAAACTATAATTTTAAATACATTTTTTAAGTTGTTATATCAGTTCTTTCCTCTAATAATGGGATAGTTGATTTGATTTTTAAAATAAATTCCATAGGGGCGCCTGGGTGGCTCAGTTGGTTAAGGGTCTGCCTTCAGCTCGGGTCGTGATGGAGTCCCGCATCGGGCTCCCTGCTCAGCGGGGAGTCTGCTTCTCCCTCTGCCTGCCGCTCCCCCTCTGTGCTCTTTCTCTCTCAAATAAATAAAATCTTATAAAATAAAATAAATTCCATAAAACAAAACAAGGTAGGTCATACCTTTCTTCAGCTGGATATTAAGCCTCTTGCCTATTTTTTTGGTGTTATAACCACTGCTTACATTTGTACTAAATACATTTTGCGGTGCTGGGGCTGGAACCGCTGGCGGTTTTCCGGAGGGGTGTGTGCTCTGAGGTAGTAGTCGGGGGTGAGAGTCTATCTGCTCGGGCGGGTGGTTCAGTCTGGGAGCTCTCTGCAGTGCTGGAAGTCCTGTACTATTCACACTCCTGTTATCCATATACTGGCTATCCGGACTGAAGCGGCTTGAATAGTAATTGTTCTTCTCACTCTGGGATAGTTGTTCGTACTGCTCTTTATTGGCTGCAGGAACCACATGGAACCAAATGATGGGTGTACGCATGGCTTGGCGAAACATATGTTGTGCTCTGGGTTTGAGAAAGAATGGAAAATTAGCAAATTAAGACTGGCAGACTAGAAGATATTATGAGCTTAATTAAGTATACTAATTAAGCAACAAAAACGGACAGACTTTGTTGAAACTGAAAAACAAAATTTTAAAATATCCATTTATCAATCAAGTTTGCAAGCTCCGATAGAAGCATTGCTGTTTCTCCAAATATAAATTTCTCGTTCTCTTAATAAAAATGACAAAATTATCTATAACTACAGAGAAGATACTGTGCTCTCAATCACAAATTATTAAATAATAGTTTTAAGCACAACAGGGATATTGTAATTTCAATAGGAATGGAAATTAAATACAATCTTCTCTCCACAATATTACCCAATATGTTTAAAAATTACATTTTATTACAAGGGACCACTTGAGTTTCTGAAGAAATAAATATACTTAGAAAACTACAGAAATCAACTCTCCATCATCAGCAACATGAATGCAAGTCTGTGTATGCAAAATTCTCAAGAACACCAAGGCAGCCTCAGTGACAGAAAATGTGAAGAGTTTTGGTCCCGGTGCTATTCCAGGAACAGCCTGAGAAACTGTTCCACCTCATGCTGATTCCCTAGTCAGATCCTACACGAAGTCCTTTTGATTTCTGCACACTCTTGCCTTGTTTGATAGGCACTGGACAACTTTTATCTTTCTAATTGAATAAGGACTTGAATCAGGACAAAGAAAATCTGAGTAGACCACACTGTGGTTCAAAGGAGCTTTCTCTGCTTATTTATATGGGGAGTCATTACGTGCAACAAAGTTGGAAATGTGAGTTGAAGTATAATAAAACCTAGCACGCTGGCAAATTTTCCAAGAGGTGAGGAAGTAGCAAAATTGTGAAGTCTAAATTGGGCCCATAATATTTTAAGAAGCGCTCTGTCAGTCGGAGGGCATTTTGAAATATAGTCTAATGGTAGTAATTACCTGGAGTCTGATTAAATTTTTAAAAGCTAGGTAATGACAGAAAATACTCCTCTCTAGTATAAAGAAAGAGACACAGACGTGTTGTTTGAAGCATTTCACTGGGCTGCACTCTCTCAAGCCGAAAGCATGAAAAGAACAGCAATGCAGCCAACACACACTTACTGTTCAAATCTTCTATTTCGAAGGTCGCCATCATTAATCCTGACAATGCAATCATTCTCATGAAAAAGGTTTTCTTGTTCAGCTTTACCACCTTTCTCCAATCGTTTTACTAATAACCCCAGGGTTCTGGAACATTAAGAACGCAAATCATTACACATGTAATATTTCTACCGTGCACAATGCCCTCCTGCTTTAATGCTGGTATTGTATTTACAAAGACTTCCTGATAAAGGAGTACCTTAAATCATTATTAATACATTTGAAAATAACACCAACACAAAAAGCACAACAGTATAAACGAAGTGCAGAAATGGAGCCTTTCAATAAATGTAAGAAATTGTTTCTGGGGGGTGCCTGGGTGGCTCAGTTGGTTAAGCGACTGCCTTCGGCTCAGGTCATGATCCCGGAGTCCCGGGATCGAGTCCCACATCCGGCTCCCTGCTCGGCAGGGAGTCTGCTTCTCCCTCTAACCCTACCCCCTCTTGTGCTCTCTCTCTCTCTCTCTCTCTCTCAAATAAATAAAATCTTAAAAAAAAAAAAAAAAGAAATTGTTTCTGGGTGTCAAGATTATGTTTCTGAAAGAAACCCTGTACTTCCCTGCTTAGAACTGCCTCAAACAGAGTTCGCCCGATGGTTCAGTCTAGCGCAGTGTGGAGCATAGCTGAGCGTGTAGTTGTGGATCGCTCTGGCAGTTTCAGTCTTAAGCCAGCTGGTACCTGTGAGAGTGCAGGTAACCAGGAAAGGTTAACCTCAGTGCACTGTATACTGGCGAAGAAAAATAGGAAAGTTTCCACTCGTGGCGTCTGCATCTGATGGTGCCTAATATTCTGAATTTCAAAACTTGTTAGGTCTCCCAAAAGTAAAAAAAAACGCGTTGCCATTTATTCCCATTTAAGGACAAATAGGAGGAAGCCAGTGACAGGTTCAAATGTCAGTGGTTCAAACCTCATCAGTGTGCGCTCCAACTGCGGTTCAAAGAAAGCCTGAATGAACTTTTAGAGACCAGTGAGGAGTTAAAACAGCAAAAATTATTAGCGTACTTGGTTTGGAACACTAATGTCTTGACTGAGAGAAAGAACATTCTAGATACTCTGGGACAAGCGGCAATCACTATGGGACCACGGTACAAGAAACAGGAATCTTTATCTAGTTGTGGTGCCGTGACTGACTTAACGGCTAACATACATTCTATATGATGATCATGTTAAAAATTCTTATGAACCTATTTTGGGCCTGTCCGAAGCTTAGGTTTCCTTTCATAATCCTAACATTAAGAGATAATATCCATATAGATACTCAAATTTAGAATCCTGTCAAAATAAAAGCTGAAGATATTCCCAATAGCCCAGATACAGATATAGATATACAGCATCCAAAAGAATACAATTTGCCATGCCCTATGTAGGCTTTCCAGTAAAAAGACACCCAAATAGACCGCTCTCTCTTGTAAACGTTTAAAGAACTTGTTATTTGTTCTGTGACCATTCATCTCGCTTTTATATACACACCTCCTCTCTACTAGTGCTTGGTCAGCTCCTGGAAGATAGAGAAGATGGAATTCGGCAATGCACGCTCAAGCACCGAACTAGTAGCAAGGTCTTGAGGAGTGAAAACTGAGTGAGTTTAGCTGAGGCAAACAAGTCTCAACTCTCCAACAAACTTTTTGCAAAATAAAATATGAGTGAAAGGAAATTTAGATTCGGATCCTTTTTTTCATGAAGATGTTATTTACACCAAATATATGACTGAACTGAAAAAAAAGGACTTGAAAGAGTCCTTTTTCACTTGTTATTGTGCAGCTTAAACTTGCTTCTTTCATGAATACAGTCATTTTTTAACTTCATTTTAATTTTTATTATTAAGTACAGTATAGCATGTTTTACTAAGGTCAAGTCCACCAATGTGCAAAAATAATCAGGGGAGATAATATTTAAATCACCTTTTGTAATTACACCATTTGAGGATTAGTACCTACTAGTGTAACAGTCTAAAAGTCTTAGTGACTGATGGAAACATTATTATGTAAGTAATTTTTGGTAACTCACTACCATCTATTGGAATTAAACAAATATAAAAATCCTCTCAGTTCAAAGGTAAGAACAAAGTACACTGACCTAGCTGCATGAGCAACTTAACTGTCTGAGTCCTATTTGGAAGAAAGCGATCCCACACAATACGCCACCCATAATTAAGTTACTGTTAAAATGTCATCATGCCCACGATCTGTCTCCCTACACTTCCCTATTGGGTAAGTGTGTTTCTATGTGCAATGGATTAAGTGTTCCATGAGAGGAACTGAATTATTAAGATACATCTAGGATTCTGTGGAGTGAGACAAAATAATTTGAGAAGGCAAATTAAACCACAGTTATTGACAGTATAAGAACTAGAAGGCATTTGGCCACTTCACCATCAAAGCAACCATGTTCAGGGAACCATGTTAAAAGAACACCCACAGACACTCACAAGCAGACACATGGTGCCACACCTGTTACTAAAAGCTACCTCCCCAGACTGAGAGCGCTTTGTCAGAGTACATGCATTCCGTGTGCAGCAAAAGTAGGCCTTACCAACAGTCACTCCAGGTTAATTAGTTTTAAACTGGTGAAATCGTGAGTGGTTTCTCAGTAAGGTTACAATATCCCTGCAATCTAAAGTGATGAATAATGATTATGCTTTTATGTATGCTGAAATATTTTATGTACTCTAAAATACCCACAGAATACTTTCAGAGAGAGATATATATACATACATACATACATATATATAGAGAGAGAGAGAGGAGACAGAGACAGACTATGTTTAATGAAAATTACTTAGCATTTAACTAGTACTGAAAATTTGTTTAAATTTACAAATTTACCCCAGATAGATCCTTTCGGTGTTTATCACAGTTTAAAATAACACAAGTTGGAAATATGTAATTTAATTCTACAAGTGGCATCAATATTTTTCAGATGAATAGGCCTATGGATTTATATTCATCTAGATAATCATTTTTCTTTTATAATCTACTCCCCCCACCGGGGAATCACTGTAGAATAATAATCCGAAGTAAAAAAGCATGGCATGCTTCATTTATTCAATGGCTTGTCTTTCTGAGTAAGTCCTCATATATGGCCTAATTCATCAGTAATCCTAATACACAGCAAAAAATGTTACAGATCAAAAATAAATACACCATCACATTTACATGAAACATAAACAGAAGTTTATTAAATGAGGCTTTTAGAATCCAAAGTTCAAATAGATGCAAAATCTTGGAGTCCTTTTTCTCAGTGCCAGGGACTAGAGAACTGATTGGGGGCTGGAGGGGGAGTGGGGGGCGGGGAGGAAGAACTTCACCCTGAGTAACACAGCAAGTGATCAGGGAATCAATGGAACAGACTGAATTAAGGACAAGTTAGTAGCCTGCTGATTTCTAAGTACTTGACCACACTATTAGAATCATTCTCTCAAAAAGAATGGATTAATTTAAAAGTAAAGTGGTACAATCTGCAAAATTATCTCATTTGCTTCACTAGGTGAAAATGATTACAAAAGGAATGGGAATGAACTATCAAAAAAACTTCACAAGAAAATTGAACTGATAACAGCTGAGAATGAAAAGTACCCTCTGAAGGGAAATCAACGGGAAGTTGTAACACTTTCATCTTCCTGAAAAATGTGAGTGCAAGCAGATAGATTTCCATACCTCCCACGTTCAATTTAAAGCCTTCTCAAACAGTATAATTAAAAATAAATTTTAGGTATATAGTTTGCAAATTCATCCAGCAACTAGTATTTATTTGTTCTGGAGTAATAAAGATCTGACTGCCTATGGCGTTGTGGTCCCTAGAACACTTATTAGACACATAACTGAAGATAATGAAGTCCCAAACATTTTGTCATGTCCATGTGCTGGGATAGAGACTAGTTTTTCTTTTAGGCAATTTGTACCAGAATTCCTTATCAGGGCAACCATTTTCCGTACGAAGTGACTTTGCAAAAACTATGAAGAGGAAGAGGGAAAAGAGGCAGTGGGGTGAGCTCTGCAAGAGGAACAGTCCAGGAGCAGCCAGACGAGCTGACAGATACAGGAGAAAGGACGCGGTGCGCTTATTAATGTGGAGGGGCAGATTTATGAAGATATGTCTGGAGGGTTTGGGGGTGTAGAAACAGAACCTCCTTCACCTCCTGTGTGAATCTAATGTAAGCTCAACTTGGCACATACGGCTTTTAGAGCACACAGATTTTTTTTCTGCTGAATCTGAAATATCCCCACGCCTATTCCATTTCTACTGTTTCCTATACTTTTTCAAAATTTTGGGAAAAAATACTATATCCACTATGTACAATTCTCACTTCTGAATAATTTTCCTACACTAAAAATATGCAAATCTACACATATTTCTTTAAGCCCTTTGCTGTGGCTTTTGAGCACTGTTTCTTACCAAAAGCGGGGGAGGGGCAAAGAAGAAGAATACAGTCCCAGAAAGCAAGCCATTGACATGCTGCATCTTTGTACATGATTTTGGATGTGTAATTAGAAATTTAACTGCTTAGATTATATTAAGGATTGCACCACTACATTTTTACAAGGTTCATTAGCCTAATTATACACTTAATTAAAACAAACTCAGTCATACATGTTAACATTTTCAATTCTAAGTATAAATTACAACCAATGATAAAACTGAAAATAAGTAACAAATGTTTTATTGACATCTAAATTGGCGAAGTAAGTCTGAGTTTTGCTTTGATAATGTAAACTCCCACAACCACCACCCAGCTGTATGGAAATGATCATAATTCATCTTAATAAAAGCTGACACAGTATAAACACCACCACTGTCCTGAAGGCAGAGCAGAAGTGGGCCGAATGGGATCGCATCAGCAAGACCTTCTCACCTCACTGAACACTACACATGAGGAGCCAGCAATTACCCACATTTGATCCCTGAGAACCACAGCCACCATCAGAGCAGACACAAACAGAAGAAAGTTCAAAGAAGTTCCAAGTTTAAAAAAAAAAAAATCCTTAGTTTCTTAAATCTTTAAGAGATGAGATGAAGAATTTCAAAAAAAAAAAAAAGGTAAATAAAAATAGAGAAATCCTTCAGCTTAGGGCAGAAATGACAAGCATC